TACAAGTGAGATGTCGGAAAGATTGCAGGGACAAATTCAATCAACCCCACTTTATTTCCGTGAGTGAAAACGGTTTACAGACGAAAATGTTCCATCGTGAAAAATTACCAGGCCCTGGATAGGATGGGTTAGCGGGGACTCTTAAAAGGTATCTGCCGTCTAGATAAACAGGGCCAGCCTGTTCCGAATTCGACTACATTCGACTACATTCTCTTACTTTACAATTCAGCCCGGAATTCGTTTGCACTTGCAGTATTACTCTGCTCGCGATTCCTCACATAGACTGTGAAAATTACCGTTTCTACTCTCTCCAGAAAACAAAACATGAACAATTAATAATTGACGGTATTTTCAATTTTCATGTCGGCCCGCCGGGCGGCCAGGTCGCCTGTGCATCCAACACCTGCGTCCGGATATGAATTATGCATGAAGCGGTCTTTTTATTTCAAAGAGAAAGCTGTGCCTTACCACTCACGGATGCCTTGCCCCAGGCATTAGAGCCAACAGCGGGAGACGCGCTATACACGCGGTGTACGGATATGGATGCATGGCACTGTGCTCAGCTCATCAGTCCACGAACAAATCTCGATGGTCGTTTTAAACGTAAAATTTATTTATTCACAAGAGAAAAGAAATAAAACAAAAAGTTTGAGAAAGTTAAGGAGAATTTAACGATGATTTTTCTCCTCAATTATGCACAACAGAACCGTAAGTAGAACTTATTCCGTCGAAGGAGCCCACATCTATTGTTCCCTACGCCGCGCGCGGCTCAACACAAAGGCATTACGAGCAGGTGATGATGATGTCAACCAACCTGACCAAAAATAAGGCTGAGTTGAGTTTTTGTCTCAGCACACGATAAAACAAACAACCAGAGTTGAAAATCCCGAAGAATAATCAACCGGCAGCCTACATGAAATTCTTACCTTTTTTGCGTCTGGGGTTTGCTTGCTTGCGTCGCGTACACCTGATCGTGTCTGCCATGCTCCTGCACTGAGTACGCCACTCCAATGTTGCCAGCAGTCTTACCGTCAGCGGATACTTCCAACGGTGCAACACGCACGGAGTGGAAGTGCGCATGCGCTCCGTAATCAATGCGTTACGTCATAAACAGGACAGCGTGCACTGACTGGCCGCACGTGGCTCTTTGTTTACATCGTTCACTCCACGTACAAGTCGTTGCAAAAGCTGTACAGGATACGTGGTGCGTGGTCGGGACGCGTGTGGATGATGTACCAATGTCAGTGCCACATGCGCAAGTGGAAGCGGTATTTTATGTAGGCTACAGTGTACAATATGTGCGTGTACGTACAGTACGTGCATATGCACATGTGCTGTACGCTACATGGTGAACTGGGTTGAACTTACTCAGTGCACGTAGCATATTATCTGAGCGCGATCTGCGAGAAAGCGCGACCGTGCAAGGAGCATTGTGACCGGCCTAAAGACTGCGTCTTATTGCTTGTTCACTAATCAGAAAAAAATCACCGACCCCTTTCCTCGGTTGAGGCAATTGGGCTATTTGCCAAGTACAGAGACATTTTGACATTAAATAGCACAAATATTTTTGTTCTTGCGGTTTCAACGAGTGTACAAATTTATTTGATGGAATACTTTCTGCTGTACTTAATTGAATGAAAACGGCATATACATGTACGTGTAACGTAAATCATGCGCATTGGTACAGGTAAAATGACCCAGATTTCAGTTCAGTTTAAAGCATAGATCGACATTCATGCTTATTACACTTGTAATTAATATTTGATCACAGACCAAGTACAAACTATCAAAATAATAACTTTCTTGTGCACCGTTAAAAAGATGAAGCAGACGGAACAATTTAACGACAATGACCTACGAAGACATTTTACGGAATGATTGGATTAACACAGCGTGTTGTAACGCCAGTCACAAAGCATCGCCCAACAATAAAGCCGAATGGTGTCCTTTTATATGCAAATAAGGACACCAGGTGCTCGCTTATTTTGCTGGTACACCATGAATGGTGCAGGAAGAGGTTTTCTACCCTGCGAGTAGAATAGCCTTTTGGGGGCGGCGTTCAAAATGATTAAATTCAATATGAGCTTGTCAAGATGACAATGAATTGCCAATATTATAATTAACTGACCATAAACTATAATTTCTGAATATAAGGTGACACAACCATTTAAGTTTCTTCCTCTTTTATGAATATATTTTACCAATAATCATATTTCGCTTTGGTAAAATGTGGGATGTCCCATACTAATAACACTAAACAAAACGCACCCATCCTATTATAACAAAAAGTGGGGCAAAATTATCTCATTATTTGTCGAGGAAAGCTGGATTGATGGCCGCCTCTTTCTTCTGTCCACCCCACCCCGTTACTCCCTCTTCACGTCCCGGCCTGGCAGGAACTATTGGCTGTCGCAATGTCCGTTGGATTTTTTTTTTTTTTTTTTTTTTTTTAAGAAAATGCTAATGTGTTATTTTTAGCTGGGAAATGAGGCTGAAATGCCCCATTTCCTACAATAATTTGTAGCTCGTCCCTTCTGTGCTAAAAAGGGCAGTGGAGGTTCAGTCGAACTCGACGACCGCCGGAAACCGCACGAGTGCCGGTTTTGTCGAGAATGAATTGACTCTGAGACGGGAAACCCGATGACAGATGAAATCTGTTCCAATAATCGGATATTTTGTTAGGAAAATTTCCCTTGTATGTCCATAGCATTAATCTAGCCGGATAGCTGCTCTATTGTTTATTTGTGTTAATTACTCAGTATGGTAAATGAAGCCTTTTGATCCACAGTGACAAAACGTCGGGACAGAAGTATGCTTGCCGCATGATGCGGCTACCGGTATGGCTCATTTAAAAAGTACTCATCTAATTTTTTTTCACTGCGACTTTATTTGTCTCCCCAAATCTGTAATAGCAAACTTGAATGTTTTTATGGAGCCATTTAACATTATATTGCTCACTACTAATGAAAGCCTATTCATTACTATAGGGATTCAAGTAGTTTCTACAACTTAAAGCAGTGACATCAAAATTGTTTATGCAATAACTACCCTTTGGAAATCAAAATCAGGAGCAACACTTAAATTCCCCAAGGACACATCGTTTTTAGAAACAAAAGTGGAAATACATTTAGAAAACCGATGTTACCCAAATTGATGACATTTTCAGTTGCCGGAAACGGTAACGGATACTTTTCATTGCAAAAATAAGACTAAAAGTGTATCTCAAACTCAGTGGCTTAAAAGGGAATTCTATCGTTGTGCGGCAAGGAATCTTTGTAGAGTGAAGGGAAAACAGGGAAGGACATGTGGACAGATGGAAAGGTGTAATAGTGGTTGTGAGGGGAAAACCTCAGCAAGAACACAAACAAGACAAACCACGGGGAAAACCCACACAATAATGATTTGCGGACGACAAACGCGAAGTACCCAGCGAAGACCAGACGGGATTCAAAACCGCGAGAAACCTGACGCGCCAAAAAGAATCTTCGCAAACCTCCACAGCAGTGATACAAGAAAGGGTAAAAAGGATTATAATGAAAACCCATCAGTTTAATCATTTGTTTTAAAGCAGTCATAGGTGGATGAGAAATTCTAAAAACTCTGTGTTTGAAAATGCAGCTCACGTATAACGCACGATCTTGTGCTTCCCGCCGATTTTAGTGCAGGTTCATTGGAAAGTTAAAAAAATGCTAATGCGCGATCGGAAAACCTCAATTTGCAGAATACCAGTAGAAGAGTTTTGGTTATCACAAGTTTTGACAGTGTTCTGATTGATCTTCTGTGTTCATTCTAAAAACTAATGTTTTCACGACCATGTTACTTTACGACTACGAGGACTAGTGGCAGCGCAGGTATAGACGGCACATTGTTTTCGTGACATAATTTTTGTCAGTTTGCACACACCCGTTAGCGTCGCCGAAAACCATCCACGGAACAGACCTCCCGACATTCTCAAACCAACAAAACCTTCCTAATAATTCGCTCATAAAAACCGCAGGCTGTCATCTCGCGCTGATCACCTGCGAGATGGATGACAGTGGGTATGCCGTCAACGAGGCGCCAGCGATAAGTAAGCGAAATCTTGGGGGATTGTGGAGCCGACCTGGTGTCAGTCACCAGCGGCCATCAACATCGCGCTGTGGCACAGGTGCGAGCTTGACGGCGCGGGCTCTGGCCGATCTAAGCTGGTCAACTGGCAGATACATTTCAGGCAGAGGAATAATAATGGATTTCTTTTCTCAGTGTAGAGGGGTCCATGAAAATATAGCTTAGTTTTCACTTTCACGGAATCACTTACGACGAACCTGCATTTTTCTTTCAATCAAGGATTTTCCAGTGTCGGGAAAAAATCTACTAAACAGTCTCCATTCATCATTCTTCCAAACAGTGCAATTAGATCCCGACAGCAGAAAAAAATGAATAAACAAATAAACACCAAGACAAGACAGAAACGCAGAGTTGTAGTGACTCGAGTCAATGACTCCAGTTGAGTCACAACTTTTGGGCGAATTGACTCAACTCGAGTCCCAACGGGTAAATGATTCGACTCGAGTCACTGTGAACAAACTGATTCAACTCCACTTGAGTCCCTCACCAGAAGACCCGACTCGAGTGAAAGTTAATTGGACTAGAGTCCCCCCCCCAAAAAAAAATCAAACTGCTTTGCAAAAACTATTTGCAACGACTTAAGCGTCGGTTTATAATGTTCATGTCATGTGTTATCAATCTGAGTCAAATGTGATGTGACTACATGTCATGTAGTAACCCAGAGGTAAATTTCAAAATGCCACAAATGACTTTCTTTATTTTTATTTATCGTATTGTGTCCCATAATTGACTCGAGCAAAGTACCTGCCTCGACTCTTTTGCCTAATGATTCGAGTTGAATCAAGACACCACAATGACTCGACTGGAGTCACAAAAAATAGGCTGGTTCCGATCAGACAAGCATGTGACAACTGTTTTTTGGAAAGATGATTGGTCTGGCAGAGTGACCGCGGAGAAAAGTATGGCAGTGGAGACTTGGTACAAGATGGAATATGTTTGTGTTTGTGAAGATAGAAATCAAAGATCATTTGACTTAAGAGGTAGGAAAAGACGGTGTTTTAGCTCCATGGTTTGACTGGATATTTCATACACGTACATACACCTGTCTTCTTTATTGTTATCGACGAGTTGTGGAACCTCAGGGGTGTGAGAATTCAGCTTTTTAGCTGATTTCAGCTGTTTTGTTCACATGTTGTTCACCCTTAATTTCAGCTTTTTTTGTACATCTGGTCTGTACAGACGAATGGGAACCTAAATTTCAGCTTTTGCTGCTGTTTTGAGCTTTATTTTATGTGGCCACTCACACCCTGGCAGTATATAGCTTAGTGCAGAAAATGAATCTTTGTGAACCAGCATAGTAGGCCTAAGACAGGGACCTCAGCCTGAAGCTGAAACAAGGTGGAGAGGAAACAAAGTGAGGTCTGTGAAGACTGGCAAATATCCAGCAACTCAGTGATGAAGGTAGCGACCGTATACACGTACGTGGAGCACATGGCTTGATTTCCTAATGGGAATGTGGAGGAAAATGTATTTTGGACTCCAGGATTGACATAAGTCCGGTGCATAACTGAAGTTGTGCAGGACCACGGAGCAATGAATCTGTGGTAGGCAGAACTACACGGTTACTATCCCTTCTGTTCCCACTGTGTTTCCTGTTCACAAATTCATGTTGGGGTGGGGTTAAGAAGCAGTGTGTTGGAGTCAAATCCTCAAATCCGAGTCCAGAGTACTTTGAGTACTTAAGGTGCTGAGTCCTGGGCCAAGTACAAGTACACTGGTGATGATTCCAAGTCCAAATCACTGAGTACATTCAAGGCTGAGTAAAGGGCGAAGTCTCATTACCTAAGTCTAAGTCCGAGTAGATGTACAATACCAAACAAGATGAACACACTCACAGGTATATTACTTAAAACAAACACTATGCAACAATCGCCTTTACCTAGTAGTTAACACAACTTTTATTTGTGCGAAAATGTTTACATGTTGACAAATCAATAAATTCACTGTCAGTTTGTGTTCACAGAACGTTTTTATCAGAAACAATTGCCAAACAAAATTATGGACAACTGGGTAGACACCCAAGACAACCGTTTGTTGCTAAGACTGAGACATTCAGGTTGAAGAATAATGAAAATCATGGAACCTTGTGTCTATAACAAAACAAAAAAAAAGTGCGATAAATAAAAAAAAAATCGCATATCAGAAATCACCGACAGATCCAACTGGAAAAGCTACAAAAAAGTGCAACAAAACCTCGGTCAGTTTCAGTCTACATGCATGCACTGTGGAAAATGACGTGGTGCTCGGAGAGCTTGAGATTGGTTCGTATCAGCACTGTGATTTCCTATAGTAAAAGCTGTGGAGGTGGAAATTAGACTAGCAGAAAGGCTTCATGTAGGCCTACCCAGGGCTCGGTAAGCATTCTGTATGTATTACAGACTACTGAGTGAAACTGCTGTGTCACATTTGTGTCGTATGTTGTGTTCAAGTGTGAGAAATGCAATTTTCGCTCATCACCTAGTGCTGGAGAACATTTTACTGTTGTAAAAAGTGATGTCCTTGAATTTTTTCTCCGAGTACAAGGGTCGAGTACTGAGTACCTAAGGGTTGAGTATGCCCAAAATCTGAGTACAAAGAATCGACAACGGGAAAAGTACAATAAATTTTTGAGTACTGATAATTGAGTACGGGCCGAGTACTCTGCCGTACTCAAGTTGTATTAGAGTACGAGTACTCCAACACTGTTCAGAAGTTTTTAGATACCATTATGGTGGGGATGTCTGGGAAGCGATCAAGAAAGACAAGTGTCTGGTGATATGCAAAACTCTAGGTTTTTCAGGTCATCCAGTAGAGTTTCCCTGGCTTCTCATGAAATATTAGAAACCTAAAGGAGATGTGGGTAGCAGCAGTTTGCTAGAAACGCTTGCCAAGATTGAAGTGAGGAAAGGTTATGCGGATATAGAATGTTGTGCAGTATTTTCTAACGAAAACATGCTGTTCCATTTATCAAGGAAGAAAATACAAGGAAGTCAGTTGGACGGATTGGAAACCAGAATCCACAAGGTGTTCAGTCGATACTGGCTGAAAACCCAGTAATTATGTAAATGGAGTGAGGAACAAATATTAAATTAAGACCAAAAAATCACTGTGTCCCAAAAATGTACACTAAAGATTATTGACTTTAGTGTTATGTTTGGACTTTCCCATAGGCCCTTAACAATGTGCATACAAAATCAACAAGAATTTTCAATTTGAGAAACTTCTTATCAGCAAAAGATTTTCTTTTCTGATTCATGTTATTCAGCCTTTTTTTTTCTTGGCTGTACTTTAGGTAATTGTACAGACACTTCAAAAGGAACATGGTCTTGGATCTGCTGAAGCCAGACCTACAGGGAACCAGACTGAGAGGCATTAGAACTATAAACTGACCAATCACAGCTTTACAAGCATGCTTGAGCGTAGGACCAATCTTCACCTCTACTCAGATAGCGGTAAGTCAAATTTCCTTCAATAACCTTACTGCACTTTGTTCAGATGTTGATTGAAATCCTTTAATTGCACATTTTTTAAACCCCTTGTTCTGTAACTGATTTCATTGCTCCATGTAAACCAGTTTCATTACTTTCATATGGCTCCAAGAGGAACTTTGTATCAACACGCCTGATTGTTTGGAAGGGACGTGCGCAACCTGTTTTTTTAGGCAAACAAATTTTCAGTCACTCCCATTTTTCCTGGAAAATGCACCAAGAAGGTTTTATCGTGACTAGGCAGCTCGAACTTGGTCTTGAGCTCATTACTAATAAGTCTGTAGTTTCGTTTGTTAAGGACAGCAAGGGGGGTTTATCGAATTGACTCTTTGGGAAATTTAAGAGTTGAAACACTTTTGGTACAGATATTATTTCAGGTTGGATTGGGTAAGGAAGACATTCAGACCTAAAACTTGAAGAGTTGAAACACTTTTGGTACAGATATTATTTCAGGTTGGATTGGGTAATAAATTCTCCCCAATTTCTGCGTAGTGCACATTAGTGGTGGAGATTCCCAGGAAATGTTGTTATTTAGTGTTTCTTAAGAACTTAAAGGACCCATGCGGTAAAAAAATGTCCCACAGCCCTTGTTAATGGCCCTTTTTTGTCCCACTGAGCCTCATTTGAAATATTCATTTTGACATTTTAAGGGCATGCAAATGCAAACTTACAGATTCATGTGCAAAGTTGTTGTTCGGGGAAGAAACTTGAAATGTTGCAGCTATTGCAGTGCTAACATTTGACAGTCTTTCTGATGTTTTGCTGTCTCCTATTGTTTTTGTTTTTGTAGTTTCATTGTTTTGGTGTTCAAGTTCCCAATTATTTTAATTAATTTTTTTCCGTGAGTAAATTTTTGATTTGCAGTTTGAACAGAAAAGCCCCTGTAAGGACAGTATTTATCAAATGACTAAGTAATGACAGTCCCCTATTTGTACAGGAAAAGGTTGGAAACTCATAAAAGTTTTAAAGACCAACTCCAACGATGTTGATTTTTCTCATACTGAATCCTACTCAGAAGAACCAAGTCTAATAAAACTGGCACATATCAATATCTCCTTTGCAACACACATTTTTGTGTTAATAAAACACAGTTTTTGTACCTATTTTTCCTGGGAGTCCAGTCTGCAGTTGTACAAATGGATTAGCATCTAATGAATATTGATTTCTGTGATGCATCCATGGCACGGGCATAGCTGTGGACGACAGCACGAACTTGAAGAATGCTCCCATTCTTTGGAAACTCAAAGAATTTCAATCTCAGAAAGGAGCACAAACTCTCGACCGAAAAGAGATAATGTGGCACAGTAGAGCCTGCACACAGATCGATCCCTGACGTGCGCTGGGTGCATGCACATATAGCTCCATTTTCATTGTGGAAATTTTTCATAAAACTCAAAGACAATGTTCAAAAGTTTCAACAAAATTACAAACAATACAGACGCAATACAGACATGATTTTGTTATGAATATATGATTTATCAAACACTAAACGCAATAAGAGTTTATTTTCAAAAACTTTTAAAACAGTTGGAGTTGGTCTTTCAAAAGTGTACCTTTCAGTAAGATCAAGCGAAAAAGAGATGTTGAATGGTATAAATACATTTTTGAGGAGTACTATGTTCCTGTTTGCATAATAGTCATGACATGGGCCATTTACATGTTAAAAAAAAGAGTTTTTCTTCCTTTTTCCGCCAGTGGAATTAGCATGTAAAATACTGGACTGAAGTAGCACATAAACGAAACTTGTTGAGGGGGTGGTGTCCCAGTTGATTTTCTTTTAAAGGGATCTCAGGATTTTTAGGCTGGGTCATTCTCTGAAACTTATTCATAGTAACGGTTGTGCTATTTTCTGAAAGGCCGATGCTTCTGAGAGTACCTCAGTTTTGAAAAAGTTGGTTATCGCAGTATGGATCTGACTGCTTTTTATTCAGAAAGCTAGGTACGGTTGACTGATTTAAAGAGAAGGAAACCAATCCTACTGAAAGTAATGGTCACATCACCACAAACAGGTCATATTTTTTTTGGGGGGGAAGGGGAAGGCCACGAGGTGTTGATTCTCCAGTCTAACCTTGAGACTGCATGGCCAGTTGAAACAAGATCAAACTATTTGTTCCACCCTAATCCTTTCATCCCTTACTCATTTTCAGTTGTGGGTGTTAACAACTTTTGCTCCCTGGATCGTACCAGTGTACGATTTGTCACAATGGGTTTGGCTGACCTTCTAGCGCACTCCCCTCACTTTAATCAGTCTATCGGTGTCATCGATTTCATTTCAACGCCGTCTGGAAAATACAAACCGTATGCACAGGGACTATTTTAGACTGTGTAATTCAAGGTATCACGCAATCCACATCTCCTGTCGGATCCAATCTGGATCGAGCTTAACTTTTTCCCCCTGCAGCGATCCCAAAATAAGGGCCCCCCTCAACTGCCAGGAGTAAAGCTGCTTAATCCTGGCCCATCGATCAGCACTCCTGTTTCATCAACATCTTTCCTCTCATCCCCTGCAGTCCACCCCACGTTTCCCCCCCATAACCCCCTGCTCAGCACCCTGCTCCTGCCACGCTATCTGATGGGGAAAGAGAGCCGGGGAGGGGGGGGGAGAAATGATATTTTTTTGGCAGGCTGACTTCCCCCCCCCACGTCTGCAGGTTTACTGTGATTTTCCATTTCCTTGTTTGCCCTGTACGAGTGGCAGAGCTGGGGAAAGTACCCCCACACAGATTGGACGGAAGAAGTTTCTGTATGTCCTGTTTCTATATTTGTCTGCCTTTGGTTTTGTGAGTAACCTTGAAATTCTGTGAAGAACGATTCTCTCATGGGCTAATGCTTCATTGTTTTGCTAATCTTTGCATCCTTTCCAAGGAAAGGTCATTTGAACCTAGACTTGGAATTACAAGTTGATTGGAGTTGGGGGTGCTGGGGGTTAGGGACTACCTTTTTGGGAGGTTGCCAGTAAAGGGAACTCTCAATTTCTGAAGAACAGCGCAGCCCATAGTATAGCCAACTTTATCATTAAGAACGAGTCACCTCGTTAGAATATCTCCAGATTTACCATGATTCAAGTTTTGTTTGTTTTGAAAAGCAATTAAATGAAGTGAAGTTGCACAGGTTTGCGTGATGTGAAACAGATTTCCTAAGGCTGTGAAATTGTAAAACATGTAATGAGATCACAGATGAATAAATTGTGAATGGCTACATATGGTTTAGAAAGGCATAAAAGAGTAGAAGTGGTAAGAACCAGATGAGTGAACATGCTACATAAAAAGAAAACTAAGCTTTTAAGAAAACAGAAGCTTCAATTTATAAAAGTTGGTCCTAAAGAAGTATTAGCCATACTCGCACAATACTGTAATAAGTAGGCCTACTTTTACTTTCCTTATGACTGACATGATTCCTTTCTATGCTGGAAGTGCCTTTTACAAAAACAGTTCAAGTTCCTCTCAGAATGAATTAATTCACTTCATAGAAACAGCTGCTGAAAACGGGAACTTGCATCCATTTTGATACTTGATGCCGGTAGTTCTCTACAGAAAAATGAATTTCATGAAAAAGAAAATCATATGTTCGAGTCAAGTTACAGCTTGATTGCGGAACAAGGAAAGGGAATGCAAAAAATTAAATACCTCACCTTATATGCATTTCCTACTTTTGTTGGCAAGGGCGAAGCCCAGACGCATCCCAGATATAATAAAAAACACATCAGAAGGAAATGGAAGGTCAGGGGTCTAGGCTTGAAGATAAACTGAAGGTCTTTGTTTCTTGGCAAGATGCCTAGTTCATAACATAGTGTCTAATTAGGGATGGCATATTTTCAGATGTCATTTGACAGCAAAGAAAAAAACTTTATTAGGAAAGTTGCCATCATGTCTACAGCTTTCATCACAAGTTTTTATGAACAAAGCAACATGGAGTACAGTTTTCCTGGTGCTGGAATCATCATTCTTTATTCCTAGCAGGCAGAGACCTGGATGGTTGCTTCACAGGTTATTTTCAAAAATTGTTTTTGTACAGTCCGTTTCACAGGTTATTTTTTTTAATATTTTTTTTAACAATAAAGTTTCAAACTGGACACCAATGGAAGGTCATGACAGGGCTGTAGGGATACAGAATTAGGTCACAAGGCCCAGGAATGGCTCCGCCCACCTACCAAATTTGATTCTCTGTGGTCTCATACAGCAGTTAATGGTCAAGCTTTAAATCCACAGAGAAGGCACTGGGAACAAGGCTTTAAGGAAGCCATATTTCCTTAGCATGCATTGCCTCTGTGCATTCACTGTTTAAATTTGAGCCAAGAAAACTGTATCTCCGACCGGAACTCGAACCTAAGACCTCTGGATATCCGTTCCCTCTCATCCTACCATCTCCCATCACCCTGCTGTTGGCATTCTCCCAAAGCGTCAATTTTTAATGTGTCGTGGGTCTGGTTGGATAACGGCCTGAACTGAATCCAGGCCGCGAACCCCCTGCCCCATGAAGAAAAATGATGCAAACAGCATTTTCGACCCGGAAAAAGATCCTTTGTCTTTGGGAACAGAACAACTATGAAACATAGACGTGGTCGGGAGGGGGGGGAGAATCAACTTCCTTGATCAACCAGGGCCATGTTTTTGCTGCAGTGCACTTCCCCATTGCTCTGTCGTTCTAGCAGGAGCTTCAGAGCATGGATTATGAAATACGGTTTCATAAATTTGAAGCAGCTTGGAGTTGACCCATCCAACACCATTGAAGCACCTCAGAGAGATGAGGCATGTTTGATACAGGCCAGGAAACTGTTCCAAGTATCCCAGAAGCTAACCTGCTCTTTTCCCTCTGAGGCCTCCCTTGCTCTTCGTATTGATTGTACCACTGGTCATTGTTCCCAAGGGATATATAGAATTTTGATCATCAATCATAAACTGCTATCATAGGAGCCTAGCTCATGTGCATGGCATTTTCGCTTGTGCGGCCTGCCGCAGTGTTGG